AAATATTGAATCCCAACACGATGGCGTGCATTTCAATACTTGGAGTATGTATTATACTTTCTTAGTTATGATATTGATAAAAAGAATCTCGAATAATGACATTAATAAGTGCGAGTAAAAACCGACATGATCGCTCAGCACTGCAGTTACTTTAGGCCTTTTCAAATTTGTTTTCTCTCACCCTGACCTTTTGCACATCGAACGGTGCAAAGGTCTAGATTCGCACCTTCTACAATAAAATATAATATAGGCCTACTTTTATTCATTAGAAGCAATGTCTCTTTAGACACTTTCAATGTTATTTAGACGTAGGGCCTAACTGAAAAAACAAATCGGACGTCAGGAGCAAAATACTCCGCAAATGCTTCTATTGTGTTTAGCAAGTAACAATCATTTATGCATTCTTTCATTCAGCTAATTTTAGTTTGTAGTAAGATGTGCTCCGGCAAGAACAAGCACGATATAAATGAATTGTTAAGTACAAAAAATGAATGTCATCCTCTTGGCCGCCCCACGAACATCATAATTGTTAGAGAAGATAGTGCTTCGGCTTTTCCGCTTTGTCCTGCCCCTTGGAGATGTTGCTGAGATACTCGGGGTCTCATTAACGTTGCGCCAAATATTAGGCCATATGCTGTCATTGGAAGCGCCCTTACAGTCTGATTGCATGCCGCTAAAAATTTATAAATTACTGAGTGGAGAAAGACAGAAGTTAATATAGGCCTAGTGCCTGCCAGTGAACACAACTGAAACGAACGCAGGGCGAGGGGTTTCGATGAACCTACCCCCCGAATGAGAGTTCAAGCCACAGCGATTGGGCCAACTGCTTATATTTTATTGTATGTACATATGTAAAAGCGGATGTTGACGGCAATAACCAATTAACAGCTGTAAATATTGATAATCATATTCAATCCCGCATCTGGAATATACAGAATATATATTTTTTATAATGAATTATATAGATTTATACAGTTTATATCAACAACCTTGAACCATACATTCGTCGAGTACTGAAGTCGAATAGCAAATTAAATTATAAAGATAATATTAATAATAAAAATAACAATAATAACAAAAATAATAAATTAATGATAATAATATTAATATTAATTTGTAAAGTGCCAATAATAGTTGAGTAATGCGTTTTTCGCCTTTCTCGAGCAAGTACCGAACCAAACGTGAATATTGCTCTCGTCCCGCTATTAACCGAGAGTACATTACGAAAGGCCTTGATGTTTTGTGCAATCGAAAATTATCAATTATGAAATTGAAAATATTAATAAGTTATGTATTAAGTCAAATAAGCATAGGCTATGTACACCGATAATACAACACGTGTATTATACAGTAGGCCTACCATTTAGTTTTAGTATTCTAATAATTAGTAATAAGCGCCGGATTTCGAAGAACTGATCCGTGGCGTCTAGTAGGTCAAGAAATTGTCTATACCTCTAAATACCCACTACCATATGAGCCAATCTCCTTCCATGGGGAATATTTCTAATCACACTAGTTAATATAAAGACTTAAACCAATTAATTTAAAACCATTTTCGTTCTACCAAATGTATTATTATAATATATTTAATATCTATGATGGTTGTCATAACTGTTGAAGTACGTGAAACATGGATTACACGAATCGATTCTTATATTTCTTGTCTTTGTATAGTTCAGTCCTCGCTAGGAATAATTATTACAGAGTTGTATAATACCGGTATTAGATACAAGCCGCCAAATCGATTCCAGATCTTGAATACATTGACTAAACTATTTTTCCGCATTTATTATTCACAGGCAGCCTCCAGCATATCGTTCCAATTCATTAAGAGTATTTTTACTTTGAATCAAGTTCATTTAGAAATTAATTGATTTAGCTTCACTGATGCATCAGTGTTGTTCCCATTTTTATTTTCTCATTATATATTATATGTATGTGATAAGGCTGATGTATATAAGAGATATACCTTCATTTATGTTGCCGATTTCGTTTCCTTTTAAGTGGGTTTCTGTTTATGAGTTATTTATTTTTTCATCAATATTTTGCGAGGGCAGTAAATGCAGTTAGAGCTGATCAATACATACAATAGGAGACAAAAATGAGTGAAATGAATATTAAACTAGACCGATGTTTTACTTTTATTTATTTTAAATTCATATAAAGAATACACATAAATTCCAGAATAAAAAAGTAACTCAAACTATGAATATAGGCCTATAATCTGATTATCGATTATCAAATATCGTAATACATTTAGAACATTACAAAGTCTTATAGTAACGCAATTTAATTTTGTAAAAATAATTTTATTTTTAATAATAATTATATTATCATTATTTTACTAAATAATTATCATTATTCATCGAAACTTGGTGTAGCCTATGGAAAGAAGATGTTAACAGTTGTGCAGAGTATTAAAATAATTAATCTGTATATTTCATTATGAATTACGTAACTAGAGTCATGAATATAAGTAGGCCTAGTTAATCTTAGTAAATCAAGTTAAGTCAGGATTATTATGACATGTTGTTGATGATGATGATGACGGATGATGATGGTGATGATGAAGATTATGACGATGATGACATTGATGGTGATAATGATGATGATGATGATGACATTGATGGTGATGACATTGATGGTGATGATGATGAAGATAAAGGATGCTGGTGATAATCATAATGACAATGATGATGACCATGGTGATGATGAGGAATAGGATGATCCAGAGTCCCGACATGTATTTCATCTGCAATGTTAACTTTTGGTCACCTATTGATCTTTTCATGATTGAGATTATGATGATGTGATTATAATGGTGAATATGATGATGATAATAATAATGGTGGCGGTGATGTTGGGTGTGATGAGACGATGATACTGATGATGACGACTTCCATGTACCATTTGTTATAGGCCTAATGTATTCGAGCTCATATCATCATGTCGTGTATTATCAACGAGTGCTTAGAATAAATAATAACAATCCCTCTACGACAAAATACGAGGGGCTCGTTACAATTGTCACCGCCAACCAATAGTGTGCTTCGTTAGCATGAATGCTGTTTAGCTCAGTATAGTTGAATCAGTTTTCCATTAATCCAAGTAGTAGAATCACAGAGGTGACAGGTATCAGTTCGGTTTGAATCTGAGGAGTATTATAGTCAACATCCTCAAGAAGAATCGATACAGCGTATCGCTAAATTGATTCCTCCACAAAGCAGTAACACATCAAGTTTCCGAAGGTAAGCTATCTCATATTTGCAACCGGCCACTCACTACACCCGACGGTTACCGGCTGATTCTACGGAGAACGCAACGCTACGACGCGCGCGCGACGATCATTTTTAATGACGAAAAGTTCAGAATGTCACCGAAAATTAACAGACGGTGTAGCGTACCTCGTCTAGCGCTAACAGGGAACAGGGTTGGAATCGCAGAACGACAGTCGTACGGCGCAACGAGTGCCCGGAAATCTGAGGTAAGCCTAATTTCCAAAACTAAAACCGGGCGCTCACTGCGTCGTACGCGACGGTCGTACACCCGTCGCACGACGAATCCAACTCCGCTCCCTCTGAGCGCAGACGACGAGACGCGTCTGCTGTCGGTGGTCGTCTGAATGGATAGTCATTAAAACGATCAGTTGCGTCGCGTTGCGTTCTTTATAGAATCACGTCGGCCGACGACCGTCGGCGCAGTTTGTGTTTTTTTCGTATACTGTAATTGTATAGTTTTGATCATGATTTGCTAAAGACAAAATATATTTTTACAACATACAATAATATATATATATAAAATAGGTGATATCCACGGATGTCAACTACAAAGATGGTCCCCAGACAATATCCACGAGAGGAATGTAATGAAGAAAAGTCCATAAATGTTTTGACATGTTTTATATACTTATATTTTATGTTATTAATTCTTGCTACAGTTAATTAAAACAAGATCTACGAGCCATTAAGCTTAAATAATAAAAATCAGTCAATTTCGTATTTTTAAAATAAGTTATAATACGCTTTCTTTTGAATGTTTAGAATGAGAAATATGTTCCTTGCTTTTCAACCGCTTCATTTTATAGCTGCATTATACACCTAACCGTCGGCGCAGTTTGTGTTTTTTTCGTATACTGTAATTGTATAGTTTTGATCATGATTTGCTAAAGACAAAATATATTTTTACAACATACAATAATATATATATAAAATAGGTGATATCCACGGATGTCAAAAGGTAAACTACAAAGATGGTCCCCAGACAATATCCACGAGAGGAATGTAATGAAGAAAAGTCCATAAATGTTTTGACATGTTTTATATACTTATATTTTATGTTATTAATTCTTGCTACAGTTAATTAAAACAAGATCTACGAGCCATTAAGCTTAAATAATAAAAATCAGTCAATTTCGTATTTTTAAAATAAGTTATAATACGCTTTCTTTTGAATGTTTAGAATGAGAAATATGTTCCTTGCTTTTCAACCGCTTCATTTTATAGCTGCATTATACACCTAATAACTTGCTAAAATTCAACTATTTTCTTAGTAAAACGTGATTAATTAATTAAACAGAAAACGATTGTACTACGTACCTGTATTTATAATACACAATGTAGTACGTCTCAATGAAATGGATAAAATTATTTGAACAGTTTACATAAGCAAATTTAATTTATAATTTCATTGTTTAGAGTTTCTGTTTTGTCATGCACTGCAAAAAAATTTATGACACAAATAATTGTAGTATAAAAAGCGGTTGGCGCATCGGTTGTGCCTTGGACTCCCAACCTCGAGGTCGGGGGTTCGAAACTCTCGTTGTGCAAATCGCTTGTGTCCTTGGGCAAGGCACTTTATCTACAACGGTTGCCTCTCTCCACCCAGGAGTACAAGTGGGTACCTGGTAAGTTCGAACACAATTGCGCTAATTACTAGCTGCAATATTATGGAATTCTCCCCAGGGAGCTGAGTATGTGTTCCATATGTGTTTGATCCAATGACCGGGGTAGTAATGTGAAGCGCTTAGAGGCATTGTGCATGAAGCGCTATATAAGAGCGACATATTATTAACCATTTGTTTTGTACCGTTTACAATAATTATACATTTAGTTCTAACATTATTCGTGCGTCTGTTTAACAGAATAAATAATTCTAATTTTGTATTCCTTATAAGGTATAAAGCCCTGTTCAGACTATCAAATTGTGTTTGACAATAGCACGTGACATGCCTAAGTATGGTCGAGATGGCATCAAATCATGATCATATACCCTATCTTGTTTATATTATTATTATTATTATTATTATTATTATTATTATTTTTACTACTATTATTACTACTATCATTATTACTATTATTATTTTTATTATCTTTATTATTATCTTTATTATTGTCATTATTATTATATTTTTATTGTTAATATTAATTACTATATCTTCACTTATTATTATTTACTGTAATTTAACAATTTGTTAATATTACTTAATTAGATTACATTGCCCTTGTTAATTATTTACCTTTCTGAAGAACTTTATATTGTATTTTTGCGTTGTGTGAAATAAAATAAAATGGGAAAAAAATCATTACTATATATGGGCATACAACAGTTGTGTTTTTTTTTTTTTTCGAACCAAATTTCTTAGTCTGGACAAAGCTTTATGACCATGTTAGTTTTTATTCAAATCTAAGTTCATATTATTTCTTTGTAAAAAAAAAATAGCGTAATATCTGTCTTAAAGCGCTCAGATCGTCTGAGCATTAGGGCTCATGTGGACCAGCACTTGTGGACCAGCGCCTGTCCATGGACCCAGTGTGCAAGACTTAGGGTTGAGCTCAGATCCGCGCCTGCGCACGGACTGTTAAGCCGGGCACTAACTGAGTCGTACACGTTGCGTTGCGTTCTTGATAATTTCTGTTAATTTTTTTTTATAATGTTTTGACCAAGTTCTGATCCCTTGTCGGAAATCAATTTTGAAATTTTGAGATAATGAATGGTGAAAATATCGACTTTGGACTGCGACATTGGACATTTTTTAGTTAACAAACGGACCATAAAATATAACATTTGCATTAGTCTCACCTCTTGGGATTTTTATCTCTATATAACTGGTGTAGGGCCTACGCATAATTAACATTATATTTTGACGTGTGCAAATGTCTTTGGTAGATTTTTGCGACAGCTTCAGTATTCATAGCTACAGTTAAATCGATTAGTTGCATATTGACCATCTGACTGGACACGGTTTTGCATATTATATAAAATAACTCAACAATAACAATGAACAAATCAAAGTAAAATGACGACAAAAACCACCTGCTATTTTGGAAATAAGCCGAGATGACGCCAGTGAAATCCTATGATACGTACCTATGAAAACCTACCTTAATGGGAACTTAGACAACGGAGAAATTAGAGAATAATTTAAAAAACGACGTTAAGGGGAAAATAACACAACAGATCTTAACCTTAAGTCCGACTTAGCGCATATTATTAATATAGTAGTAGTAGTAATAATAATAATAATAATAATAATAATAATAATAATAATAATAATAATAATGAAGACGACGACGATGATAATAATAATACTAATAATAATAATACTAATAATAATAATAATAATAATAATAATAATAATAATAATAATTATAATATGACAAGGAGATGATATGACACTTTAAAATATTGTTTATAATTGGATAACTCTCTATGTCGGTTTCTTAAGAGTTCCAGAAAAACTTTGCATTAGATGCCCCTGACCAATGCTGCCTCATCTTATTTTAGTGGTTTCTAAATATGTTATGAAAAATGCTATGAATCTGCTATCAAAATATGTACCTGAACTCAACGCTAATTGTCTATGTAAATGAAGTATGCTTTGTAAATCATAAAAAATGATCTTGCCACTGCATTTCTGACATTTTTTAAAGAAAATAACTGAGAAAACGTTCAACATACAACCTACCTTCTTTAGTGGTCATAATGTTATTTTTATCGAAACTAATCGCGACCTTCACATACTAGAGTGTAAGCGAGCGAAGCGTGCGCACCCTTTAGTTTAATATAATTTTATCTTTCATTAATATTTTATTGTTGTTTCAACCAGGACCATATGGCAGATCAAATTTAGTGTGCTTCGTCAATTTTATTATTGTACACTTACGTTAATTGAATATGTATACTGAATAAATATGTTGCATAATAATAATATTATTATTAATAAATAATAATAATAATAATAATAATAATAATAATAATAATCGACTTATGTAGATTCATCTTTCCAGGTTGACAATAATAAATATTAATTAAAACTTTATATCCCTGGATAAAGCAGATCAATTTCGTCCTTTAAAAAACCAATTATGACCATAAAAAAAGCATATTCAAAAAATGTATCAATTACCAAACGTATCGTATTATAGCAGGATCATAATGTAAAGAGCGTTACCATCTCGTCTGTATATGTCATCCTGCTGCCTAAAATATGACTTTTACAGCCTCGAAAATAAATTTCAAATTTATTTTAAGAAGGTAAACCTTCCAGTTGAACCCGTAGGCCAGTTCATATTCAGAGCCGTCCTTTCTAAAATGACAACAAATATAAAACAATACTTATACTTCGTTTCAATACCGAAGACGTACTAATACTACCTTAATGACATCTACAGACATTGATCACGCACGACAAGCAATATAATTTTTCACAATCTAAAGACGATCGTAAACAATTATAATTACCTTCATGTTTGGTTTAATTCCAAGGAGCTACTATAATACTGTCCAGTAAACAGAGTTATTATGACATCCTCAAATGTTGTGAGCATTGTGGCTATACTAGAATGTAATGGTTACAAAACGTCACAGTACAGTATAGCTACAGTATAGCAACTTAATTTGGTTGGGAATTCCATCTTTTAAACCAAATTTATAGAGAGTGACCCTTCCATAGTGTACCTAGTATAGTTCTACACAAAAAACAGTTTTGCACACCAAACGGTAACGATTTTATATTGATATAATTGTTAGCTGGGCGAGTTCACTTTCGGTAAATCAATTGATTTATTACGGTATCATTGGAGATTATCGTATGTGTATCGCTTTGAATTAACAAAACCAGTCGTTGTTGCAAAACAGTGAGTTACACCGTAACCCTCACATCAGATTGGTTTTAATTTACTTCGATTTTTAATGATGGCTGGATAATGTTTACAAAAAATAAAAAACAAACAAACAATAAAATACACAG